CGGATCCCGTCCCGCCACAATGACGAGATCTATCAGTGAACATTTGTCAGAGATGAAGCAAACCCTGGAAGCAAACGGCAGGCGGCTGGATGAGATCGCCGCATCCCTTGCGGCGCTGACCAAGGCCCTTGTGCCATCGATCACGACGGAGACACTATCAGACACAGTCATCGGTGCCGCCATCGTAGCGGCAACACACAACGATAGACCTCCGCGCAGCACTCCTCCAACGTTGCTGCCCATGTTCGACAGAAAAAAAACCGATTAGGTGGATAGCTAGGGCTGAGCAAAAGTTCGAAATTAATCAAACCCTACCTGAGAGGAAAGTGACAGCAGCTACGGTAGCCATGGAAGGAGCTGCCTTGGACGGGTGGACCTGGTTGAAGGCACAAAAACCGAGCATGACCTCGGAGAAATTTACACAGGTGGCCCGATTTGATTCACGGTTCAAAGAAAGCCGATTCAAACGACTGTTCGGGGTCAAACAGTTGGGAACCGTAGAGGAATATAATAATCTTTTTGTTCAATTGGCCAGTCAAGTTCCCGGACTGTCCGATGATTATTACTTGGGGTATTTCATGAACAAGCTAAAAAAATCAAGTGACAGCTTTCCTCAAGATACGGGGCAGCCCCCGGGGACAAATATGAGCCGGTTTCCGGATTTCAACCTTGAGGACAAGGTTTTTTCGAAGAGGGATGGAATTGATATGAAGCAGAATCTGGGCTTGGAAGAAGAGGGGAAGAAGCCCCCTGTGGGTTTACCGAAGGCGGGACGGGCTTGAGCCTACCTCCGTGGGCTGGTTACGGGCTGTTTAATTAATAATTATTCTTTTTAATTTTCCTGATTTGTTTCCTATTAGGAGTTAATTATGATTTCTAATATTTGTTTCCTATTAGGAGTTAGTTAGGATTTCTATTATTTCTTTCCTATTTGAAGTTGATTAGGATCTTTATTATTCTGTTTCCTAGTTGGAGTTGATTAGGATCTCTAGGATTTTGTTTCCTACTTTAAGAGTTAGTAGATGGGTATTTAAACCCCTTGTTAGGCTTCATTCTTAATCAATCTTGGAATAAAAGTTGGTTTAGCCTTTTGGCTTTGGGCAACGGTATTTATTTATCGTTGATTATCTGGGCAACGGTTCACCCCGTTGATTTTATTTTTTTGTTCTTATCAGAACATGAGATACAAAATATGATTCGAGGAATAAGGTCAGCACATGCATTAATTTTATCAAGAAACATTTAATAGAAATTTATTAAATTATTACGGAGTATTTTTCATTATAAGTGATTGTTCAATGTACTTGATGTCCTTTATAGAAACCGAGATGACATAAATGAATAGATTATGTGCAAATTAATAGACATGCTACACGAATACAATGTTCATGCAAATTCCTTTAGGATGGATGAGGAAAGATTGCAAGATGCACTTGTGCAGGATCTGCGGTTAAAGTTAATTTCTGACCGTGTTAGCGAAGGCCGAGTATATAATCTACCTACGGTTTCAGAAGTTCATGCTCTTATTGTTGGAGATGTTGACACTTCATCAAAAAGAGATATAATAATGGAAAAGCGAAGTCATACACTTCAACGAATATATGGGCTGCATACTAGGTAAGGATGGATACATGCATGACGTGTTTCATAGTGATAAGTAATACAAGTAATTCTAACAGTTCTAGTATGCAGCTTACTTATTCGTTGAAGTGTACGACTTCGCGTCTCCATTCTTATATCTCTTTTTTATGAAGTGTCAACGTCTCCAACAATAAGAGAAGCAACTTCTGAACCGTAGGTAGATTATATACTAGGCCATCGTTAAATCTGTCAGAAATTAACTTTAACTGTAGATCCTTCACATGTGCATCTTGCAATCTTTCCTTAGTCATCCTAAAGGATTTTGCATCCACATTGTATTCATGTAGAATGGCTGATAATTTGTAAACAATCTGTTCATCTATATCATTTCGGTTTCTACAAGGACATCGGGTACAATTGAACAATCACATATAATGAGAAAAAAATAATTTAATAAATTTGTATTTAGTGTTTCTTGATATAATTAATGCACGTGTAACCTTATTCCTTGAATCCTATTTTGTATCTCATGCTCAGTATCTTATATGAACAATTGGGAAAACTTTGGAGGTTGACCTAGCATAGGTAACAGAGCAAGCCTCATAGCTCCATTCACTTTTTTCAACTATAAATAAACTTCCCAATTTTGCCAAATGTGACACGTTTTGTAGATAATATTATGACATAATAGATTATGAGATAACATCTTATAAGATTACTAATTGAAAAAAGAGAATCTTAAGTGACCAAAAAATAAGTTTGATATATTTGGGAAATAAATTAAAAAAAAGTAAAGGGAAAGAACAGATTTTGAAATAAATATATTTTTATAAAAGAGTAAATGTAAAATTTCTAGAAAATAGTGATGCTTGAAATATAATGTTATATTATTGGTGTACTAATATTTCTAAACTAATTGAGATTTATTTAAACCTCTATAAGAAGATTCATATCTGAAATACTCATAACACTGGCTCGATATGTCAACTTGTCGTGCTCTCTAAATATGGAATTTGTAAGTTGACTTTGACTTTGAACGGGTGCTTCGTTCATTTGTCCTGAGCAATAGTTGTTATTATTCCAAACAGGGATTACATATTTAACAATGAAGATAGTAAACAATGAAGTATGTGAACTACAAAACTTAAGTGTCATTAGATTGATGAGAAAACTGAACCTATCTTTAAATTTCTTAATTTCCTCAATGTGCTCATTAATAAGCAATTTGGATTGGATCCGTACTTACTATTTTGAATGTATGTGGGATGTATTTCTAACATTTCAAAAAAGTAAATAAATCCTAACATCTTTATTAAGTATACATTTCTAAAGAAGATATATTCACATTTAAGTAATACGGAGGATAATATAATAAAACACTTCAACCTTACCTTCTGGTTCTTTGATTTTCACATGTGTCAATATAACAACAATTAGCTCAAATTTATGCTTGTTATGAAACTCCAAGTACTTCGAAGCATAACCTTGTCATACAGTGCACGTTATCATATCACCATTACATTATAACATAATGTTTTAATTAATTAATGAAAAATATTTTTAATATTGTAGTATTACTTAATAAAGTAGGAAAAATAATGAAAGTAAATGACATCACGTGATCTTTCATCAAGAATGCTACTTTTTTCAACGGAGTACTAATGTTGGAACACACAATTTCATGCAAAGCTCCAATTGTATCTAGTTTCATTAAAAATGAAAGTTTTGCATTTAGATAGTTATGTTTACTTAGTTATTATGGGGTGGAAAAATATAGTCGTGTAATTCGGGACGAAAACTTACCAACCAAAAATCAGTACGGAGGTTGCCACTTAATATCTCATCGAACCTTTTAAAGGTATAGTAATCTCTAGGGATATCGGGAAGTTCTTGATATTTCGGCGTTGTACCAGTTGTAAATTGGAGCTTGAATGGGTGATCACATGTCCTACAGTAGTGTCCTTCATTGCACAGTATATTGAAGCTTTGCATCACATATGTCTCTTTTTGTTTGATCTTTGGCTTCCATAATACCTGCATTTCTTGCAATCGTCCCTATCTTATGTCCCTAATTTGTGAGAATTTTTGAATAGTTATTTATGAATTTAAAAGGTTGATCAATATATTTCATTTAATATGAAAAAATGTAAACAAAGATAATCATGTTGTCGCATCCATTAAAACCATTTCAATGAACTTCGAAGGAGACTGGGCAGAACAGAGTGATATAACCCTAACTGCAATCTTTCATGTCTCTTTGGTGTCATTGATCTCTTCAATTGCGTTTATTTTACGTGCCATATTGACTGAACTAATGAATTGTAAAAAAAATCATTTAGAAAAATGTAATAGGTTAGAAATCAAGTAAGTGAACATTTCCACAAATCAAGTAAATGAAGAAACTACCGATAACCATCAAGATAGAGACTATATAATAATGTGCAAAATGAAGATATTGATGTTAGACCATGTTAAACCTTCTTAGTCTAATATTGACAATATTAGTTAGAGTTTTTTTATGTCATTGTTTAGGTAAAGGTGGGCTTGTTGGCATGGATGATCATAAAATGAAAATGTCAGAATAAAATAAAAGTCACCTACTAATGGAAAAATGGAAAAATATATTTTCCTAACTAAGAAAATAGCAGTTTTTTTATAAACCTACTTACTCAATGGATTATTCTTCTTATATTGCAAATCCTTTTGAGTATATCGCCACTTTTTGCTATATATAAACTCACTGGATCTATATTCTCCTTTTCTTAAAGAGAAATTGACTTGGTTGAAAAAAATGACAGAACAAAAAGAAAACATGCTGATCAAAACAGAACCAAAAAGATGTTTTAATTTTGAAGGAAATGAAAACATATTTATCTTGAACTATAAGAAGAGAAATCAGTCTTTTGTTATAGCTCCCTATGATTACTGATATAGTTGAGAAAGTATTTAAGCAAACGGTTAATGCTATTAGTTGAACTCAAAACAAGGGTCATCGCCTCATCGAAAAAATGACAAAACATAAAGAAAACTTGTTGTTCCAAAACAAAAGCAAAAAGATGCATTTGAAAGAATTGAAAGCAGATTTACCTATACCCTATTGAACTGTAAGAAGAAAAACCAATCTCATGCTAAAGAACGCTATGATTATTGCTATAGTTCAACAAGTGTTTAAGCAAATGTTTAATGCTATTAGTTAAAAAAATTACAGAACAAAAAGAAAATATGCTAAATAAAACAGAAGCAAAAAGAAGCATTTGAAATAGTATGTTTGATTTAATTGCATAGTTCAACATGTGTGGGCATTTTTAAAGCATCTGGAGTTTAATTATCTTAGTTCAAATCGAAGTTTATTTCAACAGTAGCTGATCAATAGATTACACAACAAATGAATAGACAAATGTAGAACTAGAGAGTAGTACCTCTCCTAGTCGGCCAGTGGGAGTATGAAGCCCCAATTTCGATCTGCATCTGTATATATAGTGACATTGGAGGTCTCCTGGTTTCGGCGAATAGCTGGTGCAGCAATCTCGTACTCGATTAGCGAAGAATTCTAAATAAAATCAAACATTGTTAAAATACCTGGAGGAGATGAGAGAAGTGAGGCTGTAAATTTGTATATTACGGAGAAGATAAACATGAAAATAGGACCTAGTTTCGGCGAACAGCTGGTGCGGCAATCTTTGTGTGAGGAGATGAGAGGGTTTTACCGTTTCTTTACTTCTGGTGAGCAAACAAAGGCATGCTTAAAAATTAGGAAGCCAAGTGGCCTTACAAGGTGAAAGGAGAGAAAGCAGGACACACAACCACATAAGCTTCAAGAAGGGTAGAAAAGTCATTGGATGAGCTATTTTTTTTTTCTTATATATAAGTAGACTATGTATAAAATCTTTTGATAAGGTCATTACTCAAAGCATAAAATAGCACCAATTGAATATAGGTTCGTTTTTACTACGTACACCATAACAATCCAGCTTGAAACGTTAAGTTCTTTTTTAGTTATCAATCATGTGGTCTTGAGAGTGAATATTGATATCTTGAAGTACCAATAACTTTTTTTAATCATAAGAAAAAGTACGTACAGATATTCTGTAGCGTTTCAAACCAAGGCTGCATTTTTGCTCATCACCATCCCTCCAACCCACTTCACGTGGAAAGTCAAAACTTTCAACATAGAAGAGAATACCAGCAATGCTCTCATCCTCAACACCATCTCGTGCAAGGAACTTCGTCCGTTCTAGTCTGTCTTCTTTGATATCATACACATGTGTGCTCCCGAAATAGTCACTCTTCATGAATACCTTCCCATTTTGAGATAAAAGCTTGAGGTTGAAAAACCCACACAGTCTGAGTTTGGATAAGGAGGTGACAAAGGATGTGACCCAAGACTCTTGTTTTCCATATTCTTTCATAACTGATACTTGGATCAGTTGCCTCTTTTCGTCCTTCCGAGCCATGCAGAAACATCCATCTATGATTCCCATACCTTCTATCTTGTCTTCTTCTTCTGGATTGATCCGTGTCGGGGAGGGCAATATTTTGAAAGAGTCATAAACCGGATCGAAATAAACAATCTTATTGCACCCATCAGTAGGGTGCCATTCCGTTTGATCACCACCATCATAAAATGCATCTTCATCCATATCTCTCCAAATGTGTTTTATGTCACTTACTATATCCAATGGAGTGTATTGTTAAAGCTGACCCCAGCTCGGGAAGTGATATAGTTATATGGGAAGGGAACTTTTCGCCAACCTTTATTTTTAATGCTTGAAACAAAGGCAATCTGACTACTATCGTCCAGAACGAATGCACAAAGATATAAGACAACTTTGTGATCTGATGTGGATGGATCGTAACAAAGCCCTGCAACCACCATTTGGGTAGAATATCGGAGGCGTCGATGCTCAAGAACTTTGGTAAACCGGCCCATATGCGGGTTCCACAACATAATGTGTTCTCCAAACCCAAGCAGCACAAGCCCATTGCATGAACCCGAAACCCTCAAACAGCATTCATGTAGTGTGAACTCATCATGTATGCGTTCACTGAGAAGATCAGGGCTTGTTGATCTCAATCCCGTAGGCTGATCTCCAGCCCTGTCTTGACGCAGGTGGATGAGAATTTGCGGTTGCCGGGTATAGGAAAGCTTGATGGATTCTATGAAGGAATACCACTGTTTGCTCACACATTGAGCTATGAACAAATGCCTACCCTCCAATCTTAACAAAATCTCGCGGATGATCTCTGACGGTAGGGCTGAAAGTGGGTTTTGGACCGTCATGTTAATTGCTTCTGTGAATACAAGGGGGATCGGATATAATAATGGCGGCTGCGTGATAGGGTTTGATGACATTGATAATCATGCGTCCTTCTTTAATAACCATTTTTTTGGAAACCAGATCATCACAATTAACCAGTACAACTACGGTCTCTGTAAAAAAAAGAGTATAATTTGGGTCACGCCACTAAATTTCTACCCAAATTAGGAATACATAAGGCTCTTTCATGTGGGGTTACTTTCAATCTCAAACCAAATCAAATCACATCACTACATTTGTATATCAAATAACTGAAAGAAGGATGTATTCTTTTGGACTTTTTTTAGTTACAGACCAAATCAGATCATATAAGGCCAAATCAGATTGATCAGACCAACAAATTTCAGTCCAAAAGAAAACATAGAGAGACTTTTTAAGGGACATTAAATCAAGAAAAGTACGAAGTTTATTTAAGGAAAAATGAAGTACTAAAAAATGCACCTCTATTATTATTATTATTATTATTATTATTATTATTATTATTATTATTTAAAAGAATTTCATCAATTCAGAAACTGAAATATGTACATTATCAATTCGGGTCGTGAAAGTTAATATGTGTCGGTATATCACCCGAATGATTGAAAACTATCAATCAAGGATCTAAAATTCTATAGTTTTTTATTAATTAACTCCATTGCTAATTTTAATTTTGATGAGGGTTTCTTCACAAAAGTTTATTCGTTTAGAAAAACTAAATAATATTTAAAATTTTAAAAATAAAAAATAAAAAATTTTATGACTATTTAGGTCATAGATTGATGGGTTTTTTATTTGAATATTACTAATTTTGAACCAATTACCAAAAAAGTGACCACTTTTAAAAAGGGGCAAAAAAGTGATCGAGAAGGTCATATTAATGTTATTCCCAGATTTTAATGTCACTATCAAATGTCACTGCCGCCACCGCCCATGTCATTGCTGATGTCGCCCGTGTCACTGCGGCCACCGCCACCAATGTCACTGTAGCCACCGCTCATGTCACTGTAGCCACCATCTGTGTCACTGTAGCCACCATCCGTGTCACTATAGCCACCGCGTGTGTCACTGTAGTCACTGTCCGTGTCACTGTAACCACCGCCCGTGTGACTGCAGCCACCGTGCGTGTCACTACAGCCGCCGCTCATGTCACTGTGGTCGTTTTCGTTTAGTGACACATCCCACCTTCATTACTGACCACCACCGCAGCCGGCCGCCACAATGGCGGCTATCCCCGCAACACCCCCTGCCTGCCCTGCCCCACATCCATCAACACAGTCCTGCATTACCCCCATCACCCTAGCCCTGCCCTGCCCTCATCATTCCAACCCTGCCCTACCCCATAAAGCCTGCCCCATCCCAATCAGCCATCCCTCAAACCACCGGACCTGGCTCAGGCCCCCAGCCCTCAGCCTCAACCGTAACTAGACAGCCCCCAACCCTAGCCTCCAACTGACAGTCCCCAACCCTAGCCCCGAATCGCCATCCCACAACCTCCGCCATTAACGCTAGCCGTCAGCCCATTTTTGCCGCCCTGAGATCCAAATCACACGGTGGTGGTTCGGCTCCGGCAATAGTATATTAGAAGTAGATGTAGAGCTCGCGAGAAGAGAAGAAGTAACTTTGATGATGGAGGTGCGGCGGTCAAACGGTGGCGATGATGGAGGCGCTGCGGCAATTACTTGCGGCAAACGGATCTGGCTTGCCGCGCTGGAGATGCGGCTCTCATTCACAACGATTGAGGTGCGGCTGTGTTGAGCAAGATGGAGGCACTATCTTGTGTAGATCTCAAATGGCGACATCTCAAGTTGGGCAGAATTGTACGGAGAGGAAAGGCAGAGAGAGACGTTTGATGAGGCTAGTCAATGAGTTAAAAGGCCGGTTACTTTTTTGGGATTTCTAAAAATGCTCATATTTTGGTCTAACAAAACCTGGAAAGTATTATTCGCGCCATTCTTTCTAGATGGATAGTTCTCAATCATTTAGGCCCAATACAGACACATTTTATCTTTCGGGTCCTGGATTGATAAAATTTCTCATGTTAAAATTCCAAAAAAAATATGATTACTTCAATTGGTAATATAATAACCAGAACACATTCCTTAAATAAGAGTAGAAGATATTAAATTTTCAACCTGGAAGTGTGCATAATAACTTTGCATTACCTAGCTGACCATTGAATACCTGGTCCGGACCTAGCTAGACCAATAAACCCCGGGCAACTTGGGTAAATCCAGTTTCAATTATATCTTCAATTTTATTTTTGTTTTTCAGAAATTGATGCTACCCTAACTTCTTTAAAGATGAAATGTATGTGTCATGCTTTTGTTACTTTCATTCTAGAGAATGAAGTCTTTGGAATAGCAGAGCTGAGCAGCGGAAGAATAGCTAGCTAATGAAGCTGGTTAAAGACTTGAAGCACATTCAAGAAAAACAAAAAACTCACTTTTCAAGTCTAAAACCCTTCAACTGACCCCAAAATTGCTTATTAATAGTCAGATCATTTAGTTTCATGGGAAAAGATACATTACTCATTACTCAAAAGCATAAAATAGCACCAATTGAATATACAGTGTATAACTGCACCATAAAGAACCAGATATGCTAGTTATCAATATGCTAGATATGCTATATATTGATATCTTGAAGCACCAATATTTTTTTAAGAGATACTCTAAAAAAAATTAAGAGATAATTACCCTAGGTATGACTAAAATTCAAAGAGTTTCTCAATATTAAAATTCGAAATATTTAATTAAAATTCGAAATAATTAAATAATTGTTGGGATATTGGGTCCAGGCCCAATATCCCTAGGCCCAAATCCAGGAAGAAACAGCGGGCCCAAGGCAGTCCAAAAGAACTCTCGAACGGCATTCGGGATAAAAGTTATACTTGGAACATTCCAGGAAACAATTATGCCAAATCACCTATGACAGAGATACCGATCGGCGTTCGGGATGTGTTCCTAAGCAGGATAACACCTATGACGGGGTCCCACGCACCGAACACCTTGCCCGAACGGGCAATCATCAAGTGGAGGCCGCATTTAATGCTGGATCATGGCGGCAGCAAGTGGGGGCATGGGTGCTTACATGGCAGAGGTGATAGCCTACCAGATTCGACCACGTGTCCACCTTACCCATCCCCATTTTAGTATAAATATCCATGTTTAGATCATTGTAAAGGGTTAGCATTTTAATACTCAGAGCTTAGCAATAGATTTACATCTCCCACCCTTGTAATCTCATATTCATCTACCGTTCGGGTAGTTTCAGTGTAATTGCTTAATTACAGAATATAAGTAAGTTCTTGAGTTGGATATCATTTCACTATTTTATATTTTACACACATTTCAATCAACCCTACCCAATATCCCTATAATATCCAAGGCTTGTGTTGGGCTTTCGGATCTTCGGGAATAAACCTCAACATTGGCGCCGTCTGTGGGAAACGAAACTAAAAGTTCAAGGAAAACAGCTGATCTAAGCACCATTTTTTGAAATGGCTAGGCCTCATACCGCTACACCGAGTTCTGCATCCAGAGGACGAGGAGGCCATAGATCCTCTGAGGGGTGGTCCAGGCAAGGACACGCCAGTGGCAGTGCCACCCGGGAGTTCGAGCAAATCATCCCCCAGGATGTAAGGATGAACCCTCAGTTGATGAGGGATATGGCGGAGGCCATGCAACGCATGGCGGACGAACAGGAGCGGGGCTACACGGATGAAACTCATGAGCCACCATCCCCGTTGCGTCCCATGCCATCTTTTGACGAAGAGGAGGACATCGAGACTACGATGGCCTCAGTTCATTCCGAGGAACGCCGCAGGAACCATTGGAGGGCCCATACCCCCAGACGAGGAGCACCAACCAGCCGAACCCCGTCCGCCCCTCGAAACGGATACAGGGAACCTACCCCCATGATAGATCCCGTTGGACAAAACTTCCAATATATCCAGAGGGATGGGGAACGCTTCATCCGGAGGAGGGCTAACATAGCTGCTCCTCCCCAGAACAGAATACCGGAATGTGTGGATGCTCGGATACCACACACTCCCCGAACGGCCCAAGACGACGAAATGGCCGAAATGAGGAGACAGATGATTGAGCTCAGAGAGCAGGTCAATCGGACGCCCCAACAAACCCCGCCAGCACGGGTTGGGATCACCTCTCCCTTTACTAGGGAAATCATGAACGCCGAAATCCTGAAGGACTGCCGTCCCTCGACCGGCTTAGCATACGATGGGGTGGGAGATCCCCACGTACACCTGAGGAGTTACCAGGGTGGCCTCATGCTATTGGGGGCCACCGACGCGGCAATATGCAGGCTGTTCTTCAGTACCCTTCGGGGACCAGCCCAGGAATGGTTCGGAACGTTACAACCCGGGTCGATCGGGAGCTTTGCGGAGCTATCCACCTTGTTCTTGGCTCAGTTCGCCTCCAGCACAACCCCGAAATTACATTTCGGGTATCTAACCAGTGTGAGGCAAGGGCCTAGAGAATCAATCTCCGGATTCCTCACCAGGTGGAGGACCGAAACCCTGAAGGTGACCGGCATGACAGATGAGACG